GTGTGATCTTCATCCGAGAACACATTTGATAATCAGATTAGACCCACAGCATCAACTACTATACTGGATGACTTTGAGTAAATTATTCGCTCCTTCTTGCTGTCAAAAGCATTCGTTGTGTGTAATATCAGGTACACTATAGAAGTTTACACAATCGATCGAATGCGAAGTTTCAATTTAATGTCTTGAAACAGTTGTATTTGCTGACGTTGTTTATGGCTGTGAATTCAATTTGCGAATATCCAAGTCACCCATGTGCATACGTATCTGTAGGTGAGTGAACGTTTGTGTGTGTCTGCAAGCAATCCATACACACGCGCTAATGCATGTGCATACGTGGCTCCGCGAGTGTGTGTGTTTGCCCAAGTGTGTTCGCGGACGCGTCTGCACGCCTGGGAGCTTCCTACACCAATGATTATGCCGTTGAGAATTATCCTTCTTTCTCCCCGAAGCCACGGAACACAGCGTTTAGCGAAAACAGCCGAGTCATCTTATCCTGTTCTTGGGGCCGGGAGATGAGCTGACGAAAGAAGTTAGGCTCGACGGGAAAGTCTACACGGGGTTTGTCTCGTCTGTGTGTGTGTGTGTGTGCTTTGGGGGGTGAAGGGGTGAGGTGATGGGCCGGGGGCAGGTGTTTCAAAGCGTGAGTAGGGATGGATGTGGTGTATTTCTGTATCTGTTTGTCTCTGTCTGTCTCTGTCTGTCTTTCTTTCTTTCTTTCTTTCTTTCTTTCTCTCTCTCTCTCTCTCTCTCTCTCTCTCTCTCTCTCTCTCTCTCTCTCTCTCTCTCTCTCTCTCTCTCTTCTCTCTCTCTCTCTTCTCTCTCTCTCTTATCTTATCCAACGTCCTTTACCAATCCTGTTTTTTTGAAATCCCCTTCTTACTGATAAAGTCATACTGTATCATAATGAGAGTGTAATATAAGGCAGCTAATGCAATGAAGTGCAGTAAAACCTAGTCTCAATTATACATTTTCTGCCCTAACACTTGCAGACTATTATGCTTCACCTGTGTAACTGCCGTATTTCATAAATGGACAACACTAGACTATTCCTTTCGCATATTCACCCACCTGCTTAATTTTGTACCACTTGTATGTGAACAATTTCCCACATGTCAGGAATTTTCCACTGTTGTTCACCGGGTCTATAAATCTCCTCCCACTGGACTAATAAATATGTCACGTGTAATGTAAAAGGAGGGACTGTTAGTCGATTTCGATTATGAACCTCTCAGCATGGTCTATTTTACCATTAGCTGTTGCTGGAAAACCGACCTAAAGGGTAAGCAAGGGGTGAAAATTCCCCATTTTTTTATCGTCGATGCGGAAATTCTCGAAGCAAAATCGAATGAAAGAAGCATTAATTCCTGGAGATCTTACGCAACATTCTTATCATTATTCTGTCCGCATTCTAGACATCTCCAGTGGCTATTTATAGTAACAACTCACAACTAGAACGTCACGTGACGAGTAAAAAGTTGATTGAACAAGACACAAAACTAGCATAATGGTCGGCTCTTCATCAACTGAAGTATGTTGCCATGTTGGTTTATAAGGTTATGAGAAGTGACGTTCAGGAGAGTGACATCTCGTAAACATATGTTGCATGGCGGCTGCCTCCACCGCATCCTGTTGCGTTTAGCTGCGATTATCATTTTATGGTGATTAGTCATTAATCATAAAAAAAAGAAAGGAAGAAAAAAATCGTAGGTATTCAATTGGTTTATGTTATTTATTGTGTGCTTATATTAGTCTGTTCTTGTATAGTTCTTATCACTGACCATTATCTATTTACTTATTTATTAATCTGTTCATCTATGATTGTCATTTATTTTGCCATCATCTGTCAATCATTTATATATTATCTATCATTCATCTATTCATCTATCTCTCCATCTCTTTATTAATCTTTTTGGCAACTATCAGTTTACTTTCCCAAACCAGTAGCGAGAGAACCCCACGCAACATCCCCCCCCCCCCCACCCCCGACCCTCTCCCCTCTCCCCATCAGGCAATAAAATCTGCATAGCCTGAAAATAGGTCACTTTAAGCTATGAAGAGTTGAGGAGCTGTTTATGGAGTAGAAAGCTGGTCTATCAATTAGAAAGCTGTTTTGTGGCCACTCAGCTGACTCTAGCACCAGTCATAGCTCCGGGAAAAAGGCTTTGTTTGAACGGTACATTTGCGGAATTCATTATAGCGCGGCTGTGAAACATTTCTTTGGCAAATTGCAATCACGGGAATGACCGCAGTATTGATTTGAAATTATCATAATTACTTTTAAAATGATATTGACTACATTCGCATTACACTGATTGCCAAGATCATCATATCTGCGAGCATTTATGATGATGATGATAGTAATAAGAATACTGGTTCCATATATACTGTGTTTATATGTATATATGTATGTATTTATATATCTATATATCTATATCAATATCTATATCTATCTATCTATCTATCTATCTATCTATCATGTATTATATGTATGTATGTATGTATGTATGTAATGTATGTATGTATGTATGTATGTATGCATATATTCCTGAGGTTATGTATGTATAGATAGATAAAAAGATATATAGATACAGATACACAGATGCATAAAAATACAGATATACACATAGATATATAAAGACAAAGACA